ACTCTTTAATGTCAAGTGATCTTCCATAACATAAATTTGTTTTATAATTCATATAATGCATTTCATAGCTTTTACTTTTATGATTTCATAAGTTTGTCATAAAATAAATATCTTCTCCAATGATTCAGTTACATTATGTGATTAAGTAAAGCAATTATTTTTCTTAAAATTATTAGGGGTGTACCAGATTGGAAATTTTGAATTCCGGCCAGAACCGGATTTGCCGGAATTGTTGAGAAAATTCTGGCCAAAACGAGATTTATATTTATGTAGTTTTTTACCTTCAACATTGAAAGTGAAAGCCTGCACCTCAGCATTGTGGCTAAATAATATATATATATATACACACACATATATATATACACACACATATGTATATATATATATATATGTATATATATATGTGTATATATATTTATATATATATATATATATATATATATATATATATATATTATTTATAACCTATAATAAATTTATATATATATATATATATATATATATATATATATATATATATATATATATATATATAATAAATATATGTGAAATATTTACGGTATTAGGCATCCTCTACTATTTAAATATTTAAAAGTTAAGAAACATTAAAAATTAGACTATTGTCAGAGGCAGGTAACATTTTTGATGAAAAAAGAGCTTGTTTGTTGCCCAAAACTGGATAGCAATTCTTTTTGCACCACAATATTCCTAAACTTTTAGAAGTCTTTACATAAGTGATTTATGGCTTATTTATTATAGAAATTAGGCAAAGCTACAGATACGCGGTCTAAAATATAGTTTCATTTTATCGCTTGTTGCGCTTTCGTATGGAAACTTGTTTAAGTGATGACTTTTTAATATAAAAATGCAGAATATTTATTTGCTTTAGTATATTTATCGACTATCTTATAGCCTGCTGCGACAAGGAGTGTTACTACGCCCAATGTCTTATAGCCTGCTGCTACAAGGGAGTGTTGCTACATCAACTAACTTATAGTCTGCTTCTACAAGGAAGTGCTGCTACATTGACTGAGGATTTGGCATAGGGCAGCAATCTTTTTTCTTTTATTATTTCAATTAAAATTTCTAATGTTTAAAAACTCTCCACTAACGAGAACGCAACAAGCGTAATTAAAATTATTTAAGAGTACTAAACTGTAGCTTTACCTAAAATTACATTATATTTGTTAAGAATTTTGTGTTTTTTACCAAGGTTTTCCCATAGTTCTTCATAGCCCTTTATGACAATGATTTTTTGGTTTTATTTACATAGTCTTTGTCACATGTCTTGAATTAAATTCAGTAAAAATAAAATTCCGGCATTCTGGCCTGAAATATCATAATTCTGGTCGGAACTAGAATGAATTAAAAGTCACAAGTTTCGGCTGGAATTCCAGTACATCCCTGAAAATTGTTAACATTTTAAAAAACCAAAATTTCTGATTTTTAAATGATAGTGTTTTTTTAAAATAACATGATAAAACAAATTAAGAAATAACATTTGAATTCAAGGAGCATTAATAGTAATAACATTGATAACTTATACATTTAAATCAAGTCACCCCGAATCCGTCTTACAACTAAAGTAGTGAGACTCATTTAATCTTTTCTTATAACATAGTTTTTTTAGTGAGGATATCATTCTTGTAACACGATGCCGTACCGTTTTTAAAAGAGATTAATTTCATTTTAAGACAAGGAGACCACACAGATACAGCAAATACAATTAACAGTCTTATAAAAGTTGTGTATATAATTTTTAGTAATTCACTACTTAAACTTAAAAATGTATTCCTGAACATACCCAAAACTTTATTTGCTTTACTTGCACATAGAGTTATTTGGTTTTTCCATTTCAAGTCAGAGGTAAGGTTTTTGACTATCTTGCAAATTTTTTTGTATTCATTTACATTTATAATTTAAAAATTTTTTTCATCACTTCATCAATCTGCTTTGCATGCTCTTTTTAAAAAGCATTTAATTCCCCCTGAACAGTTTGAGAGTTCATCATTATTAGAGATAATATTAATTGCAATAACAATTTGCACAAGTAAATGTTTCAATACTTTAAAACAGAAATGACGTTTACATTAAGATAATTGCAAAAATAAAATTTATTGGTTGCTTTAACCATTAAAAACCTTACTAAGTAAAATTATGTTTATGAATAAATATATAGATATATATTTTCCTTATTTCAAGAACAAAAAATAAAAAATAAATAGTTAAATAAATAACAAGTCAAACCTAAACAGACGGCTAATACAAAAAAAAATGAGGCTACTAAAACAAAAACCCTGACTTGCAAATCAATCAAGAATAGTAGAAACAATGAAGAAGAAAAAAGAAAAAGAAAGAAAAATAGAGAAGGAATCTCAATTCAATATAAATAAATAAAGAATTGTTTTAAAAACAAAATATAATGAAAGAAATAAGTTTTTAGTTATTTAAATCTTATGCAGCAAAAACATCACATTTCTTTTGAAGCGGTTTTGAAGTC